CCCGTCGCCGCCTCGCGCAGCAGCGCCAGGGCGAAGTCGGCCCGCGCCGCGCGCAGCGCCGCCACCTCCGCCTCGGCGCCCGCCCCGCCGCCCGGCCCGTCGTCCGCCGACAGGCACTGCGCGCCCACCACTCCCGCGCTCGCCACCGCCGCCACCGCCACCAGCAGCAGCAGCCACCGAACACCTTCCTGCAGCAAGCGAGACGGCCACACATTACTTTTTATTTATTTATTTTCTGCATCATTTACAATCTGTTCTTGTTAGAACGATAAGTAAATGGTGTCTAATAAATACATTTCTGACGTGAATTTTTTATGACATTGAAAATTTCATTTACGAAATCGGTAGGCCATACATTACAGTACGGTTTTTTTAGTCGTGCACTCGACGTAAATCAGCTGTTGCGGTTTCATCCAATCGGGAGCTTCCATATCGGTACAGCGACCTCACTATGGAGACGTTCGAGCGTCCGATTGGTTGAAACTGAACAGTTGATTTAGGTGTAGTGCACGATTTAATTAACCCTAGTATACTATACTGTGCTTCATTAGACAGATCATCAGCTGTTACGTGTCATCCAATCGGGAGCTTACACTTCACTACAGACTCGTCACTATGGTGACGTCCAACTTCCAGATTGCATGGCACCGTAGCAGACGATTTACGTCAACTGAACCTATGATTACATCCAAGTATAAGATTATCTCAGGATTTAGACAAAAGAGCAGGTCCCCTGTTCGTTAAGAACCTTTTTTTTCGAAAATTGCAAAAATTCAATAGATTTTCGGCGATTTCCTACAACACAATTATGAATATAAACATTTTATTCTTAATAAAATATGTTAATTGAAAACATCAAAAAATAATGTCATATTGAATTTTTCGGAAAAACAAGTATTTTGTGTCAAACATGGGCAATTTTTATTTTCTTGAAACACATTTTTCTCAAAACGGCACATTTTTTTATTTTATTAGAACCTTAGGGAGCGTTTAATAGCGCTTAAAAGAATGGTTCAGATCTCATGTACGTTAAAATGCAAAAAGTTAAAGAAATTAATATTTTTCGGCGTCTTCCTACAACTAAAATTGTGAAGATACATTTTTTTCCTTACGGAAATGTGTTCATCAAAAACTGATCTTTAAATAAGGTCAGGTTGAATTTTTGGAAAATAAATGAGTATTTTTGTGTAATTTGGCGACAGACATCCGCCCACTCCAAATTGATTGCTTCGTGAACATTATAGAGGTAATTCCACGCAATTGATGCTACGTAAGTTAGAATTTGCATATTATTTCATATGTCTATGTTGGTTTCTTACAATCGAGCTTTTGTTAGACATTTACAAATTAATCTTTGATAAATTATTTAAAACCTATTTTAAATTGCGTCCTATAATTGAGTTAAATGTCAAAACGAATAGATTATTTCGCTTTGCATAATAACATGTGGGAATGAAGAGTAATGCGTGTAAAAACGAAATAATTTTGATGAATATAAAAATATTACATTTAATTATACTTTTTTATCAATTATTCATTTTCTTGCGAGCGGTATAAAGAATGCTAATTTTCAAAAGTGTATCCCATACAAATTAGCGGTAATCGTTGCTTGTTGCAACACATTTTTGTAACGACGCACTGAAAACAGAAGGCGATCGCTGTTCGTTCGCGTTAATATAAACTAATAGTTTTATTTACAGCTAAAATAATCATCGTGTGTCATTGGTTCATTTATGTACAATGTGAATACACTGAATTCAATGACAGAGAGCTGTTTTCGTTTAAACATTTGAATTAAAAAAACATATGTATTTTTCTTCCTTCGTTTGTTTAAGAATTTTTCAAATGGTAGTTGAAGTATATGATAGAAATTGTCATATTATAATACTACATATACATTAACAATATCGCGAGATAGTACGTGCTGTTGTAGCTCGTGCTTGTTAAGAATATAATTAGCGGTAGATTACACAGGAAGTAACGAAGACAACAAACAAATTTGAGAGCAACACCGGATTCGAATCCCCAAAACAATGGCCAGAGTGAAAGTTCATTGCTGTGCACCAGCCGGAAACTTCCCACTGTGGTGTTGAAAAAAGCGTCAATCAAACGGCAGAGTCATGAAGGAAACTCATGAAGAGAGTCTACTAATTTTTTTTAACCACTCTCGTCAAATCCAGATTTATTTGAGGGCTTATTGAGTCATAACCCAAGGGGTTTAGTTTGAGTTGAAATGGGCGACAAGAGAATTTTAGTTAAATCCTCTTTGTGTACAATGCAGCAAAATTCAATACGTAAATATCTGGTGTTAGAATTTCATTTGTGTTCTTTACTGATATTGCAATAAAAAAGAACGCTGGCTTCACTGATCCCTGTTCCCAATCTGCACTAGAAGTTTCAAAAACCAGAACAGACGTTTTTATCTGTGATTATCTGTGATTTTTATCTGTGTAAATTATTAAGTCGCATTTAGTAAGTGAAAGGTGAAACAGAAAGAGGGATAAAGTGTCTAAGAAACTGGACGCATTTTTAAGTTAATTTTGTTCGGCGCTCGTAGGAGATGCGTGAAAGAATGATCAGGTCAGTGCTCTGAGATGTGTTGCAATCTGAGGCGTGCTCTTGAATTGTTCTGCCCATATTTTCAGTATTCCAGAGCAGTCGAAAGCATTTCCAAAAACTACACCATCAACGTGACTTCTGTAGCTAATGAACGAACCTCTGAATTGTGTTCATACCTAACCCACATACATATTGTGGTGTTTTTTGTTGATCTACCAAAGATCGAAAGTTATATCTGTTTCATCACTATATTTTCACTTCCAAACTCACTCGACACAAAAAAATCCTTCAAGAAATTAGTGCTCTTTAATTATTCCAAAGAAAGTGCTTGCATATTTCTTAAGAAATCTCTTATCATAACTGGTCCTTATATAGACGATTGTTCTAAATTGATTCAGTGTGCAGTAAATAGTCGATCACCCCGTAACGAGAGCAATAATTATAAATGGTTTCGGCGCTCCTTGAATATTGCCCCTGATGAGCGACAAGTAATTCTGCACTGAAATGAACAAAAAAAAGTACCCATTTTGGAGTTGGGAAGAACAATTATTGTTATCTCAGGAAGGCGATGAAGATGGCGATCCATCCGGTTTCCACACTGTTAGATGATGACACCTGTACCTCCCTGCGTTGCCACAGCACTGCATTAACGTTTACAAAACATCACTCTCCCCTCATACATTTTAGGGGAGACAATCAGTCAGCAAGGCTGTCTCGGCCAGCGATTTATCCCGCCACCGCAATGAGTTACCTCATCACACTACCTCAACCCAGAAAAATTTAAAATAACACACCCCTTAGGGTGACGTCAATGAAAAAAAATTGCAAAAGATTAACAACGTGAACTCAAAGAAGGGTTCAAGCAATATGAAATTGTGAATTTATAGTTCTTGAAAGTATTTTTAACTGTATCTACACAGTTGTCTTGTTTTAATTTGAAATCTAAAAAATAATACAAAATACTACATGAAAAAGTTAAACGAAGAGACATATGTGTTATAATATTGATAATACCAATAAAACAGAACTAAGTATGGAATATTTCGTTTATATATTATTGTTGCATCTATATCATAAATATAAAATTAATTTTCAAGTCAATAACCGTAAATATAATGTCTGCTTACATCTAGTATTTCATTAACGCAATTAACTTTTATATTTCACTATACAGTGTGTCCCACCAACTACGGGCCACCCCCATAACTTCTAAACTGTTCATGATATCGAAATGTAGTTTTCGCTCAAGAATTCGGAATCATGGGGAAAGTAATATACCGTAAAGTGATTGTTTGAAATATTTTTATTTTTCTAGAAATTTTATCTTTGTTTTTTTAATTAAATTATATTTTTTCTGGTCAGTAATTGATAGATCATAAAAAGAGGATACACTATCTTTACAGCTTATTACTTGCTCCATGATTACACATTGTTAAGCGAAAATTGCATTTGGATATCGTGAAATGTTTAGAAGTGATGGGGGTTGGTGAATCTCCCAGTATTTTCTGAGTCCTTGCAAAAGCAGATGACCTAAACGTTTTCTGACTACAACCCAGTTGAAAATTCCAGCGTAAAACCCAAGGCCCAGCTGTGGAGAGGCCACTGGCTGCGAGAAGTCCGCGCGGAATTTCGCGTCGCGCAGAGTGGTGACGGAGCGAAGAGTGGAGTGGGGGGGGGGATGCGGCAGGGGCGGGGGCGGGGGCGGGGGCAGTGACAGCCAAGGGGAATCCCGCGCCGCCCCCAAGGCCCGATGGCGCCCCACACGGAGGAAAGGCTCGGTCGCGCTTACAGCCTCTCTGCCAGGAACCGGATTATTGCCTTAGAAGGCTCCAGCGCGTTGCTCAGAATCCCTCGCTGGATAGCGCCCCATGGTTGGTTACATGAATGCTTTCTGAGATTGGGTTGTTTTGCGGATGGAGATGCAGTCCATGACGCATATTTTATGCGTATTTAATTTACTTGCTTATCAGATTTCAATCATCCTCCCGAAAGGAGGTTTTTGTGAACCTGAAACTCCCACATTTCCCTTCGCCATTTTAAAGCTGTGAGATCCTACACGACGTGTGATTCGTAAACTCAGGGCTGCAGTTTACTTTGGCAAGGTGGTAACATACGTGGAAAACATGGGGTTTTCGCCTTTTAAGTTCAAATTCTTTTATTATTAAAAAGAACGCTTATTTCGAAATGTGCGGATTTTGGTAGATTTAGATTTCATATAAGTTACATTGGACTAGAATCTCTGGATTCCGGATTTTTGTTGTTTTTTTTTGCCTGAGACTGTAATACGAACCATTGTGCCATGTAAGCACGCCGAAGTACATGCTGATTCTCAGGGATTTGGTTAAGAAAATGAAAAAAATACTTTCACCCTTAGTGTGTATCTATGTTCCGATAGTGTTTTTATTTTCATAGCCCTGAGAATGAAATTACATATCCTGTCGGTACACTTAAATAAATTTGGCAATCGTTGAGCTCTCTAAATATAGTGTATACTTTTTAATGTAGTGGTTGCCAAATATGTTTTAATTGTTTGGCACACTTTACAGTCAGTTTACCACCTCGTGTTACACTTTAATTAATATGATGATTCTGCGGTAATTAAGCCACATTCTTGCTGTTCAGTACTATGACACACATTTTGGGAATGCCTACATGTATGGGTATTGTGGTGAGTTTTCGTTGGCATTTCCAATGAAATAATTATATTCGTCGTCATTGCCAATAATATTATTCATTAAAATAGCAGCTTCGAGTCGTTTTTGTGGCTTCCATACAGCAGAAAACTGATGATGATGGCTAAGCCATCGAAAGCTGCTATTTTAATACATAATATTGTTGGCAATGACGATGCATATAATTATTTCAATGCCTACATGTCTAGAATCGGTACATGTTGGTTGATCTGATATCTTGGAGGCGTTGCTCACGCTCAATGCTTATGGTTTAATATGGTTAAAATAGTCGTGAAAAAACTGGTTGTGCAGCAGTTAAACAGTAATAAACAAAAGAAGTTTATCGTCTATATCTTCTTGGAGTAAAACATTTTCGTAACATGTTTGGTACTTTTATCACGCTAGAACTATTTCAAAATACAACACAAGTTGATATACATTTATCTCCAAAAGTAAAAAATACACATTGAACTGAAAATTGCTCAATTCATCTGAAAACCTTTCATGTGAGGTGAATTGCTTTTGATTTTGGGAACCACAAGGCGTCAAAGCTACAAAATTGCATAGAAAGTATTTGGGAAATTATCAACACTATCTCACTTAACAACGACTATAACTCTGGCAAAAAAGTATAGATTGTCCAAACACTATGTTTTTCAAAGAACATCAACAGTCGCTCAGTGTACCTTACGAAAAGAAAAGAAGTTATTTTAGAGTGCGTTAGTTCCACTCTCTTCCGAAACCGAACAATGAATTGCGGACAATTCTGATTATCTAGAAGATATGCATGTATAGCGTGAAATTGGAATTTACAATACTTTGTATTCTATAGTTAATGACGTCAAATCCATTTAAAATGAAATTCTATAGACACAGCACATAAACAATTTAATTAAAATCTAAAAATATCATATATCTCTTTGTTTCCGTTCGTGAACGAGTTCTCTAATTCATTGTGTAATGAATGCAAAATAAACAACAGAATTCGTACACCGAAATGCTAAATTGCATTTACGAGTATTTATGAGAATTACCTCGTGGTCTATGCGACTATATTTCGCTTTTATTTGAAAGCTGAAGCTATTAGCAGCGATAAAGATAAATTAATATCGCTTAAATGTTCTGCGGGAGATAGGTACTACCAGCGACTGGTGCATTGATGCAGAGGTTGGATGTAATTCAATAGATACTATTATATACTTGATCAATCAAGATTTTTTTAAAGAAATAGAAGCTTGAAACTTGTTGGACGTTTTTCAAAATTCATGAAACTTATTTGAACTTTGTCTTTATTCTCGTAAAGAAAAAATTGAAGTTATTAAAGAAAAATTTGAGCCCTTACAAGTGAATAAATGTGTAGATTCATACATTGTACATCATACATACATTGAGGATGGCTAGAAATTACAGACGTTAATCTTCGTTAGAGTTAAAATGGCTTCTTTATAAATAGACATGCATCCAAAAACTCCTTAATAATGATTTTAAAATAATTGACAATAAATATTGAAATAAGATATTCGTGGTATACAAATTTAACTTTATTCTACGAATAAAATAAAATCAGTGGAACCGTGTCTTTTTGCACACTTCAGGTTTCCAATAAATGTGATGTAGCCAGAAGGGAGAACGAAGGTTCGTAACATTCCTCTCATTGAAAGTTCTACAAGAAATATCTTCAACAAACTGATAATATGTAATTCATGAAGTAATTTTTTTCACATTAGATCAGAAAGCAGACAGGACATTATCAGTAGGAAAGATCGGTGTGGGAGAGATGAATACTTCATTGAACCTTGAGTAATCGGGTATCATCGATTACAACACTTCTCATGGTTTGATCAAGAATACACCCCTGTTACTAAATTACTTAAATCCATTGTAACTCATCTATTTATTTCAAACACTGTGTCATGCATTTCTCCGAAATGTTTCGTAAATAAATGAAAGATGTTGACGTATTTCAAACAGAAAAAAAGATTATTGTATTGAATAAAACACTTGCAAGTCTTCAAAAACATAATCAGTGGGAAGAGTGCTTTATTTGCCCTTTATTCTTCGACATGCATGATAACGATAAATCAAAGATATTTTATAACATGCCCCAACTTAGGTGTACGTCATTCGACAATTATTTTAATTTCGCGTTGAATGGTCTATTGTTTTAATAACATGATTGCTACTGTTTTCTCCACAACCAATTTCGTCATTATTAGCCAGTCGCTGACGTGGATATTTTGTGTCCACAACAGCGACTAGCTAATAATATTGGTTGTGGATAACACAATGACATATTTAATTGACCAATGAAGGCTTTCAGGGCTGGATAAATTTCTAATAATACCTTCCGGGCCGTAAACAAAGACCAAATGTTTACCAGTTGCCAGTTGGGTATCTGAAAGAACACTGCGTGTTCTAGTAGCCATTGAAGATGTCTGCCGCAGTCGCAGATGAAACGTTTGGGCGCAAAATAGACTACGGCTATGCAGACAAGAAGGTACTATTAATAGCGTATCACATTTGTTCTAAAACCAGAAATTCGAGTTCAATGTAAATTTCTCAGACCGCTCAATGATACATTAGGACTAGAATGTTAAACTTAGCTACAAGAAAAAAACCCCTTCTCTAGCTGCTTAAGGCGCAAGGCAGCAGTTTAATGTAAATAATTTAAAGTAAATAAATTCCCTTTCTCCACAGGATTACTGTGGAGGGGACAAATGAAAACAAAGAGCTCAATGATACCACCTTCTGCTGGTGGAAATGACATTTCGTAGATCCCGTGTAAAAACGCAATTCGCTTCGCGCGTGTCCGGTGAGGCGTGTCGAGAGCGCGTGGCAGGGAGCGGGTGAGTTCCGCCTCGAGACGGCCGCGTCAGCGCCCGGGAGAAAGCCCCTTCCCCCCCCCCACCCCCGCCCGCGCCGCAGCATTTCGCCAGCGGCAGCGCTTTCTCTGCAATGCGGTGCCGCGGGCCCGGTGCAAGGGCAAACGGCGGCGCCCCGCCACTCGCGCCCACTCACAACCCCCTTTCTACCCACCACGCCCTCCCGGCCCCGTTTCCGAGCGGCGCGGCGCCGCGGGTCGGGGCCCTCGTGGACACCTCGCAGCGCCATTCCCTTGGAAGCCCGCCGATTCCGCCATTTATAGGGGCGTCTAGAAGTACGGGGGGGGGGCAACGTGCCCTAGACCCCGACTTTATTGGGGCCGAGATTCGTTTTCATTCAAAAGAAATGAAAAATATATTTGTTTACCATTCAAATTCAATGCTATAAGTTATTTCTGATGCACGCGGATAAACTCAATATGTTTATGAATTGAGGGAGGCGGGATTATTTTGTTTGAAATAAGCTTCCTCCTCCCCCCCCCCCTTGGATCAACTGACCCAGGCACCTGGATTTCTCTGGGTGCCCCTGCATTTTATTACATCCAGTTGTCAGTGTTATTGGAACTGCGCGACTGGTTTATTTATTTATTTATTTACGTCAAAAACAGTTAAAAACAGTGTGTGACGAGCTATGGGGAGATGTTATTTTGAAGTTACATTTATGTCCAGAAGCAAAACAAGGGGCCATCTCAGCAATTGTTCGAGGATCAGGGAAACTGGATCAAAACCTGATCGAGATGGTTCAGATAGCTCAGGGCAATAGTTGCACTGTCTCTGTCCGGAAGGTCCTGGCACTAGAGTCCTTACGGTGACAGATTTTCAAACCTATTTAGACGGCTGCCGCTGTTGAATTCAGCCGCTGTCTAGAGGAGAATTCTACCGGCCGGCTGCTCCGGTTTTGCGAAGTTTCGCCGATCAAAACCTGCCGGAGCAGTACCTTAACAAACGAGCCAAGAAACGGAGCGCGATCTCTCCATCATCCTTGTCCGCTCCTCATCCTTGCGATCACACACACGCGCACTACACGATCGCACATGTAGAAATATTAATCGCGAGCTGAAAGATTGTAACGGATGTAATGTGCTGGTGGCGGATATACCTGAAGGGTAAACTAGCAAGACAACTCGGCACTGGCACTCACGTACCTGCGGGTGAGGAACATCTCACCTCAAGGGATTTAATATTCATGACATATACGGGATTAATGACCGTAGCAGTTGACGCACCCTGAATTACAAAATAATGAACCAGTCTAACTCTGCGATATGTGTGTGATGGGAATAACCAAACCATCGACAATCGGAATTAATATACTTGAAACTATTCGTAATACATTCAAGTGTTAACATTTCTCCCCTTGAATAGTTTCTATCGGGTAGGATGACTGCGTGCGTGCATATTGCGCGTGTCCAGGGATTCTTGTTCAACTCGTCCGTGGCCAGAATTCCTAGGGAAAAGTGGTTGGCAAAAATGTGGCGGTATGTCCGATGGGTTTTCCCTGCATTACTAGTGAATGCATTCCTCCCGCGCATCCTTTCTTCAGAACGTCCTTTGTGCGCCGAGAATGCTGCAAGTACTCCGACGGGTTTACCTAATCCACTGGAGGAAGGGTTTGGATTTTCCCGAAAAGCTCCCTTCCTTTCTGGTTTCTAAGAATTGTTTTATGTTTAGACCATTATTTGGGTCCCAGGAGGAAAGCTCATTACCTATTCACTAATTTTAAAACAATTCTAGTATTCGGTTATATTTTTGCAACAAATAAACTGAACATGTATTTTTTTAAGAATTGTCAGAAGGTCAATTTTAATCAGATTTTTTAAAAAATTTTGTTGTATTATTTTTCTTTTTTCGTTATCAGAGAACACTAGTTATAATTCAGTAATAATCACGAGAATACAAAGTCTTTTTAAATCACCATAATAAATTAATTGGCCCTATGACTGGTAAGTAGCCCTATGACTGGCTCTTCCTAACCATCATCTTTTTCGAAACCATTGGTAGCTTCTTCACAAACTACTATACTATATTTTCAAAAGTCATCGAAGTTCCCTTCTCCCTCTCAAAAACAGTTGGCGCCAAGCAGAGCGAAGAGCTAAAGGACCTCGTCAGATAGGGACCCCTTTTTTAGCAAAATTTACATCAGTTACACTACGGAAATGACAAGTGTAGCGACTTCTACTTTTACCCTGTAGTTAATTTTCATATTCGTCATCATCCCATATGTTGAATATATCCTCATTATTCCATTGATTCCGTAGTTTGAATATGTTTAGGACCCCGCAAGATATTAATCCGACCCGGGCCATCACTTCAAAAATAATACAGGGCAGTGCACTCCCTAACTTTCATGAATGCGACCGTTGGTTGTGAGAGCAACATCGCATCACGTGCTGAGGCGCTGACTAATGAATGAAGACGCGCGCCTCCCCGCAAGAGGGAAAGGGAAAACGGCCGTGCGACCGGCCCCGTCTACGCTCACAACACGTAAACTGCATGCCCGCACGTCCCTGCCCACTCGATGCAGAAAGGATCCCCCGAGTTAACGAATTGCTGCAGCTGTACGCGCGAGTTGAGTTCGCGCAAAAATAAATAAAATTTGTGAAAATCGTTCGTGAAGTATTTTAAAATTGGCTAATTATTCATCATCAAATTGATGTTCGAGATTTAAAGCAATTGTTTGCAATTTCAATGATATGTTTTAAAATTAAACAGTTTTCTTAATACTGTAGTTAAAATAAGTTTGAGGCTATTTTTGGATTAGAACCCTTAATCAAGAAACATATTACTAATGACATCGCTCTAAACATTTGGATCAAGATATTTTCAACTATCATGATGAGGTACAAGAATCGAATGAATGCAGCTACTCGTAAATCTTCTGGCTACTAGTGAGCCGATATATGTCCCAGAGATCAACTTAGGGAGACACATTGTTTCCTTCATTCGTGAAACGACAGCCTTCCCTCAAAATCAAAATGAATCCCGCCTGCTATTGCTGGAAATGACTACTGACCATCATACGTCCAGTCGCGGATCCGTGGTGGGGGACATGGGGTGCATGCCCCCTCCCCAAAAAAGGGTGTTACCTTTTTTTTATTTTCCAAAATTTATTTAAATATTTACTTAAGTTCGAATTATGTAATTATTTAAAAAATAATTTTTTATTGTACTTTTTGTATAATTTTGTGCATACACTTCAAAAATATACAATAAAATAACAAATATGGATATTATTTAACAAAAACCCATTTTGCCTCCCTCCCCCCAATGACGGCTGGATCCGCTCCCGCATATGTCATTCCATCTTTTCGCTTCTGAGAGAAAACCTTCAATTAGAGAGTTATATAAAAGTGTCGTCGAGTTGTGGGAAACGTGTGCAGTTTAGAGAGGTCTTGAATGGGAGGACAAACTGCGAAGTTACGCTGGATCTCCAGACCAATGGCCCGGGTTCCGCTCTGCCGCACGAACACAAAAGCGCGTTTGTCCCTCGTTGAGGGCGGGTCTAGTTGCCTCATCTCGCCAAACAATCCCCCAGAACCCCAGCATCACAAGCAGAGGCATCCAGCCCACGGTAGCACGCGGCCTTTTGGATTTCGATATTGAAGTAACGAGGTCTTTTGTAATGCATTGCTCTGAATTTATTTTTAATTACTAAAACATGAACGGGATATGGTTTCCAAAAATTCAAATATCTCTCTTCGAAGGAAAGCATCCGCGAAACGACGATGGTAACGTCTGAATGTTCAGAAAAAATAGCTGTCAGCGACGATACGTGACTGCACGAAAAACGGTATCTAATGAATCACTCATGTAGCAATATCCTAATTTGCATCAGTACGTAAAACACGCTTCTGTGGTGGATCTAGAAAGAATCTAGGGGCGATAGGAATCCACTCCCATAAACATTTTTGAAACAATATTTATTTTTAAATATTAGCATGCCACTTTGTAAAAAAAAATACGAGTATTTTCATAATAGGATTATTTCTTTGGATGTGCTGAGATGTTTATGGTCATTATTTCTCATATTTTCTTTTAAAAATTACAAAACATATTGGCTTTGTGAGGGGGATGACACCCATGCCACCCTTACTGGATTCGCCACTGTCTACGAGCGTTCAAATTCCTTGCCCAAAGAAACGTTCAATTGTATTACGATTTTCATCAGTTCGCCCTAAATCACTAATGCCCACCATCATGCTGGCTTCGCCCCAGAACATTAATCTACGAGCACACGAGCTTAACGCGAGACGCTGTCCCCGAGCGGGAACGCAGCGGCGAGGCGTCGCGACGCCAACCGCGGGCTGCCAGCAGGCGCAGACGCCGTCGCCGCGGCGGCGCACAGAGCGAGATTTGACGAACGTAGCCGCTCAAAATACCCTTTTCCCAACTCAGCATTTAAGGGAAGCTGATGAAACGAATGCCTTCTTAGATAGTGAAAGCACATGGGTGCACAGTTTGTTTATTCCTGGCGGAAGAAATATAGCCTAAAGAGAGCGGTCAAGTTAACCCTTTCAGGCAGGACGTCGTGAGCCCGGTGCAGTTGCTTTGTGCAGAGTGGAGAAGAAGCACGCATTGACGCCTTTACTTTGCAGTTATACTGATAAATCTGACTGAATCGGATTCAGTAAAGTTTGTACTTTAGTTTTATATTAATTTCGAGATATTTAAGTAAAAAATTAATATTAAAATGACTCTCATAATGGAGTCTTAGAATTTCTATTTTTTTTTAAATTTCTTTATCTTGAGTTATAAAGTTATCCCCATGACTTCCCGCCGTAAACTCAACATGGATGTAATACCCAGACTATTCTTCATGATTTTAATCACATTCCAGCTGCTCCTAGCTGCTCTTTCAATCGTAATATATTATTTTCAGTGACGATGCCGCTCATTACGCGACGCGCGCTTTTCGAGGTGTGCCGCTTAAATACTGTACGAACTGAACGAGGTGTTAGCGAGAAGGCCGCGGCGGCCACGGCCGCGTACAAGCACTCACCATGTCTCCGCGACCCGGTGCACGCAAACGAGCGCGCGCGTGTGTTTGAAGAAGAAAGCTGTGGCCGGTCCGCGGAGGCTCCTGCTTGGCTCCTGTGCCGTTCACCGCAGCTGCGCGACTGTGTCTGGCGGCGTCCTCCGCTCGGCCTCGCCCGCTCTCGCCCCTCCGCCCCCCACCCGGCACCGCGTGCCCGCACCGCGCCGCCGCCGGCGCGGCCCGCCACGCCCCGC